AATTCTCAAAATGATATAAAACAGCAGTACTATTCCAACATCACGTTTAAACAAAACCACAGAATCCCAGCATGCGTACATCCATCCACAATTAAAATATGTTGCTACTCGTCTAATTTCCAACTTGCAACACTCGACGAAAGACACGCTTCGTTTCATCGTGGTCTTTCTCGCAACGCAGAAAAGAAGCACGCCTTTTGTACAGAAGAAATTCGTTACGGCACTCGTGGAACGCTCGCGTTCCACGCTAAAAGGGATCCTCCGCGTTGACGTTGAAACCGCGCCTCGCCCATTGTCCCTCCTCGTGGCAAACACGAAAAAAAAAGAAAAGAGAAGAAAGAAACGGTTTCAACTTTCGAGTGCCCGCACTGTCGCGTCGGTTCTATGTTCGTCTTGTCACCGGTGTGCTTGCTCCCCCTTCGACGAGAGCTCGAAAACCAACCCCCGCCATACTGCAATGGCTCTCTCGAGTGCTGTCGCGCTGACTCTTTTCAACTTTGATCGAGCGCCTCTTCAGTGCGCATAAGATGAAATGAATTAGCGCTCCGGAACCGGAAAGCCTCCATTCTCTCTCTCGCTCTATCTCGTTCTCGGTTGGTTTGTATACATCTCGTTCATTCTCTATTCTCCCTCTCGCGCCGTTCCGTTCCGTCGTTTGTTTCCAGGCGCGAGAACCGTTGCGGTTTCCCAACCCCCGACAAGCTTTCTGCGAGAGCCGAGTTTTTCTCGAGTGTCCGCGAGTCGCTCGAACTCATTAATACCAGAGCAACCCCACGAAAGAAATAGTTTCAACATTCTAGGGGAACGTGGAGCATTGTTAGGAACTGGTAGAGCAGTTTGTCTCTCCGCGTTTCAGACAGTTTATTGCCGCTTTATTGAGTGAACCCTGACGCTTACGTTCTTCTTCTTCTTCTTCTTCTTTCGTTGAATTATTCAACGTGGTCGTTCTATCGTCGTGGTTTATACTTGAACAGCTGTTCGAACGGATTCAATTGAGCATGAGGATGATAGTAATCACACAGTATCGTCGTGTAATTACGATTCCGATAGGGTGTAATTAGCGAGGTATAATTGGGAAGCTGAGTTTCTATCAGTGGAATTATCGTAACCGTTTCGAGCGTGGTCGCGAGTAATTAAACTGTAAATTTTGTACGAGGGACTTCGTCGTATTTCTGGATGTTTCGGTGTCTATCTAGGATCACAGGGTATAACAGTGACTATGGTGGACAGACACCTCTGGAGAGAGCTGGTTTAATTCGCTTTGCCTAAAGTTCCCAATGACACAAAGTCGAAACGCGTCTAATTATCCGACACCTCGTTAGCTGAAATCCTGCCAATTCCTGGCGTCCCTGGGAACTCATCGAACAGCTTTCTCTCTGTTCAGTTGGCTGGCGCCGGAGCTGTTCAAATGTTAATAGATTTGTAAAGGAGCTAGCCTCCCGTATCTGCATATCGCTCGCATTACCACGAGATCGGATTGAATTCGAGGCGTGACGAGGCTGAGTACGCGAGGGTCCGGAAAATTGAATTGCAGCTCGTCCACCGGCGACGATGCAGTCGCAAAATCATTTAGGTCGATACAGAATTTACGAACCGCCATTCGAAGCAGCGATATGTGCACCGGAAACCTACAGGACGATGTTTGAGCGGAAGAAAGTTCGAACAGGACGATATTTTTATGATTAACCCTTTCTTCTCTCGATTCTTTTTTTTTTAGTAGGTTCATATCGAGATTGAAGTTGTTGTAGATATTGTTTTTGGGGCTTCTAGATATATTCCGACGTTTCGTAAGCACCGCAGCTGAGTTCATCAGGGTTCGAATTACACACTGATATTGGCTCGTGCCTAGTGGAGGTGAGTTATTTAACTGCTCATGTTCTGGTTCGCTGCTTTGCCAATCAGGGAGAACTTTAATTGGTCAGCTGAGCAATTAAAACGTCGGACTAGTTCTTCTGTAAGGACAGGATTTAAGCTGAGTCCACGCTATGTGTATAATATAACACGTTGTAAAGTTGGAATAATTATTTGAAAAAAAAAAAAGAAAAAAAATTTTAGATCATATTTTTCATGTTGTACAGGATGGACTGCGTAAAGTAGCCCGCCTAATTATCTTTTATAGCTATGGAGATATAAGAAAATTTTAATACATAATTTAGATGGTTTGAAAGGGTAAGATAAGAAAAACATTTTTTTATAAATACCATTTTTTTCTAGTTTTCTTTGCAAGGTCACCTATGTTTTTTGAGAAATATTTTTTATTCTACTTACTGTAAGAGAAATTCATGTGCATTTTAAAAATTTTAATTAAACGTGATTAAAACTAGTCTGAAAGGATAATGTGATTAACCTTCCCTTCATTTCTTGCAATTTCTCATCAATACCTTCAAAATTTTTAATTTTTTAGAGAAGATAATTAGGTGCCCTGTTTTACATAGACCACCCTGCATAGCAAGTTATATGTTGTCCATGTAGTGTCGAGAAAGATCAATTATAAAACATTGCTATGCGACATGTTGCCAGTCGGCCTAAACCAGTATGATACAGAATAAAACATTTCCCATCCACCATTTGACCCCATTATTAACAACGATATGCAAAATGTTACACAAACTTGTTGCTGTTTCGTTACACACTGTAAACACGCCTTTAAACTCTCAAATCTTCAACCGATAATTATTTACCACGTTTAAAAGGAAAATTTCCAATCTAATAATTTCCCATAGTTCGCTGGAAATTGTAGGGAAGATTAGATTTAACGAATCGAATTGGCGGATTTCAATGAACCGCCAGAGTTTGTAGCATGACGTGGAAACCACCTTAGATAAGTTGATTGTCAGTGGCGCACGAAAATCGTGTTTAGGAAACGAGACTAGGGAGAAGAACTGAAAATTCGCAGCACGCTGAAACGATAATGTGATTACGGCGGGGCCCGTAGTGCTCCGTTTCATCAGGTTGTCCTGTGCCTTGGAAAAACAACTTCTTTTGTACCCAATGAAATAAACGAAACGCGCGGGACAAAGTGCCGCCATTACTCGTCCCTGTAAAATGTGAAACGTTCGCCATGGAATTCCAACGAAGTTTCCTCTTCGAAGCGTCTTCCAATGGCTTTTTTCCCGCTACACACTCGAAATTTTTCGGCTTCTACGAAAAAAAAAAAAAAAAAAAACAAAAAATAATTTTCTTCCCGTGAATAGAGCAACGACACTTTGAAGCTTATTCGATTGGCCTCGCTCTCTGTCGCGTAGGTGAATTTCAGTAAAATGCACGTTCCAGTGGCCGTGCATGTTAAAGTGGCGCGAAATTCACGGTAAACTTCACGCTGAACGTCGTTTAAACCCATGGACAACAAGGTGGTCTTGAAAAGCATAGGAACCGCCTTTACGTTCTTCCTCGCGCGGGAAATCTCTTCTCTCTGACGAATCGCCCGTACACTCTTCACCGGACGATTTTTTGATTCGAACTTTTCCAAGAGTCGTCGTCGGTCATTCATTCTGCGTGCGAATGAATGAGACGAGAAAAGTTCACCGAGGATCCTGTGAATGGCAGGAGGAGAACGTCGGGGACCGGAGAAAAAAAAAGGCAGCCGGTTTTCACGTTCGCTCGCCCGCTGAGCTCACGAAGGAGACACAAGTGTTCCATTGTCGATCGACGAGGATACGAGAGTGCCTCTAGGCTATTGTCGCGTCGCTCCTTAACACCATTAACTACGTTTTACCTTAAATTTAACCCAAAGTGGGGGCCTCTTGACAAATTTCCAGGATTTACGGCATCACGGCCGATTTCTCGTTGACAATGGTCACCGCGACTCTGGCTTTCGAGATCCTTACAGTCCTCCTCTGCCCTTCGTCCTCTCTCGCTTTTTCCCGCGCGCAACTATACCCTCCTCCGTCGTCTTTAATCCGTTTTATTGCTGCCTGACAGTCGGAAAATTGTTTCTTCCGGAAGCTGTACACAATGTGATAACTCACGCGAGCTAAATGGCGCCTTTTTACATTTGTAATGGCCGCGCAGGAATTAACGAGCGTGGTATGGCTGCTTATTTATGCAAATCCTGCTCGGTTGGAATTCGTTTGACAAATTCGTCGATGTAACGTCCTCGAGGATCGTCCAGAATTTATCACGTTTTTTTTTATGTTCCCGCTGAACAACGACTCGCAACAATGCGACATTTTTTTTTTTAGCAAGAGGAATAAGAGACGTTTTTTTTGTCGTATTCAAAGACGAAAGATTTGTACCGCCAATAAATTCACCGATACGCTTCGACCTCGATAGATAAAAACAACGTCGTGTATTCCTGCGAATTTTTTACCGATAAATAATCCCAGCCGTGTATAATGCTGTACGTTTTGCATAGAAGCAATAACTTGCGTGGAAATCAATAGAACGATTACTAAAATCGGTGATTCTGGAGAGGAATATCGGTTGGTTCTTTCGTAAAACACGACAAATTCAACACTGGAAGGGTCCTCGTTGTTCCCAGCGATAAAATATCTATCGATCGTGGCCGGCTGTTTAACGTGTAATTTTCACGAACTTGTGAAATAATTAAACAGTACGCTCGCGCGATCAACTCGCCGCGGATTGTTCTCGTAGTATTAGTCGTTAAATTGTCGAATTATCATTTACACGGAGTAAATTCGAAATAAAACTAGTCCGTTGTTTGTACGCCGTTTAATAAGCGAAAATACGACACGTTTCGTGAAAATGATCTCAAAAGAGGACGGACGAGGCGAGGTTGGTTTTCATAGCAGATGTACGCGATACGATAAATTTCAATGGTCCATTTTATTCTCCTTAGAAATAATATTAAAAAATATACAGCCATAGGTTCTCTCTTCTCTTCGTTCAATCGTACAAAAATATATCTACAAGATGTATTTACAAGAACGTAGTGTACACAGACACACACGAATGGAAAGGACAGTGAGATGTAATCTCGAGGAAATAGTTGTTCCGCCGTGTAGATGGAACGCAATTTTAGCTCCATATTTTCATTCTCTCTATGAATTGACAATTCTCTCCACGGTATGTTTAGTGCATCCTATGCTTCTGAACACAGGTTTCACGACGGTGTGCTCTTGAATCATGTTCTGATAAATCGACGGCCCGTCGATCCGTCTCTTCTTGTCATCCGTCTCTTCCGCGCCGTCCACGATTCTCCTCTTCAAGCCGCTGGACAAATTGTACGCGCTCCTCTCGCAACGCTCAGGCATCACGCTCACCCTCGGATCGTTGAATTTCTCCTCGGTTTCCGGATGAAATCGCTGCTGGTTCTCCGTCGCTTGAAACGATTGCTCGAAACGATCCACCGTGATACTCGCCGACGATTCCTCCTGCCTCGTCTCGTCCGCAGTCTTCTCGTTTGCTTCCGTTTTCTCGTTCTTGATCGATTCTTCCTGCTCGCACTTCCGACTCGACGAATCGTCGCTGCAACCGTCCTTCTTCTTCCCGCACGTCCTCAGACAGCAACATTTTTGACTCTGTCCAGTGGGCAGATCCTCCTTCTTGTACTTCACTCGGCGATTTTGAAACCAGATCTTCACTTGCTTCTCGGATAATCGCAGATTCGTGGCGATCTCGATTCGCCTGAGTCGCGATAGGTACATATTAGCGGAGAATTCTCGTTCGAGTTCCAACAACTGAGTGCTCGTAAACGCGGTACGAATTCTTTTCGAGCTGCTGCTGAGGGAATTCGGGGATTTCGGTGGTGGAGTCGGAGTGCTGTTTCTCGAAGGAGACTCGCTGGGTGCTGAAATATCTAAAGAAACAAGATAACGTTAATATAGAACATTTCATAAAATCTTGCTTACATTTGCTTCTATCAGTGACAAGTATAAACAAATATTTACCAGAAAGTCTGCTAGTAGAGGTGTTCAAAGGCGACGGCGGACTCTGTCCAGTCACAGGCAAGCTCCCCAAAGCAGGAGGACTGATAGGAACCGGAACAGGCAGAGCTGGTGGCCTAGGTACCGGTCTAATCGGTTGATAACCAAGTCCGAGATTGAAGAAATTGAACATGTAACTAGGCAACTGGTTCCCGTAATAAGGCAACGGGTAAGCAGGTGGCGAATTGTTGCCTATCAACGAATCCACTAAGAAACTTCGCGACATCTTCTCTGGTTTTTCTCCTCTTCACGATTAAATCGACTCGTATGAAGAAACGAAACACTGTCGGACTCGATGCACTAAATAATCCTGCAACCACTGACGCTTCTTCGTTCCGCACAATTTCCCATCGATCCACCCAGATCCGCCTGGTCTCTCGTACAACGTCCAACAGCTTCTGCGTCCGATATCACTTGAGAACTTCCTCGAGACGCTCTTTCTCGACCGTCGAGGATGTTTGGATGGTTCGTAGGCAAAGCAACACCAAGAAGACGCACTTTTTCAACCGTCGAGCGACTGTCGAGGATGTTTGGATGGTTCGTAGGCAAGTAACACCAAGAAGACGCTCTTTCTCGACCGTCGAGCGACTGTCGAGGATGTTTGGATGGTTCGTAGGCAAAGTAACACCAAGAAGACGAGGTAGGTCCTCACGGCACGATAGTGTACCGTGATCTGCACCCCGAGGAACCAACGCTCGAGAATATATATACGGGGTGGTAACTCCACCCAGGGGTTGGTTTTCTTCAGGGCCCCTTTTGTACGGGGCCCCGCCCTTTTTTCCAAGGGTGCCCCCCGGTTAGGCTCACCCTAAACGCTGACGGGGACCAAACGGCTCGCCTCCCTTGGGATCGACACCGAGTAGGGCATTTTCTCGCAACGCTAATTCGACGGGTGGCTAATATGTCCGGAAACATTATACCTCCGTACCCATCTTTCCACTATTATTGGCCTAACCCCAGCCAACTCTCCTTGGTTGTACCCGATCGCATTCGTTCCTCGCGATGATTTTGAAGTATGATTTTAAATTGACGGAAATGGATCCGGGGAATGTATCGTTGAAAGGGTTTCCTCGGAAATCGCTCTCAGAGTGGTCTGTTTGTTCCTTCGTATTATATTCAGCGATCGTTTTTGTGAAGCTTCACGAGGAAGAGGAGAAAAACATTTTGACTATGGAAGATTTTTCTTTGAAACAAACGGAGGAATTTTGAAAGAGAAACGTTCTTGTGGGACGACGTGCTGAAGAATCTACGCGGTTGATCGAGATAAGCCGTTGAATGGGACAGGTATCTGAAGCAGTTCTGGACGGTGTCATTAGTGGTGTTTCGAGAGGACGGAAAATTAAGCGGCGATCTGAAGAAGTAACATCGATTCGAAATCTGGTAACTTGAAAAGGTAACTTTCTTTACTTTCTGCTCGGTCTGTCCGTTCGTTAACGAACTCAGTGGAGAATTTGCTCGTGAATAAGAAGAAAAGAAGAGATAGAAGTCTCCGGAAAAATAATTTGTTTAATAGCATCTTGTTAGAGGAGAGCGCAGTCAATTAACCGAACAGTGTATTTACATCGACGGCGTTTCCACGAAGCCTTTCAGCCCGGTAACTTCATTTCTCCTCGGCATCGATATTCAATAACTCGGAAGATCCAAATCGAATCTACCTGAACGGCTGCGGCTTTTCTCTCTCTCCCCCTTCTTTCACCGACGGACGATTTGCATTCCCGGAACAGAGGTGATCCTCTTTCCGTTTCCAACGATCGTGTTCGTTTCTCGTGAAACTTATTCATAGATTTCACGGATGAAACGCACGCGCGTTTTCCCGATCGTTTACGAGCAAATAACCGCGAACTGTTAATCTTAAATCACCCGCAGACGTTAACAATCCGGTTGCATATGTCGAACCGGCGAAGTTCGAATTTCTCCTCGATATTCCTCGATTGTATGTTAAATTATTCCAACGCATAACTACTCCCCTCCCCCGGTTCACCTCGCAACCAACGGAATTGGGTATGGACAAATATTTGGCCACGATCAACGTATCTCGTTTGACTAAATCTAGCGGACACCTAACGATGTTCAAAGGGTGTTTCGAAGCGTCGACTCGAATTTTGCAATTTCGCTATTATAACACAGAAAATTTTAACGATCTCCGCTGTGTAAACTATTAAACGACCGGTGCAATCGATCGAAACTGAAGCTAACTTTCGTTCGTCGTCTTCTAGAGATATGCAAATGAGCCCAGGAAAAGTCAAAATTGACGCGTGAACGAATCCGCGTATTTTCTTTAAAAAGCAACTTATTTTATTTAAAAACAACATATACACTATTAACTTGTAAATGAATGATAATACGAGCAATATATTTATATAAAATTTATAACAAGCATAAAATTGGAAGGAGAGAAATGTAAACGGTTTCTGTAATTTTCCCAGTGAAATTCGAAATACGTCAAAATCACGCAAACCTAGTGTTAAGCGACTTCTGTAAAAAAATAAGTAACGTTCGTGATTACCTCGCGACATTCAGGATATCACGAACAGCAACGGTTTGGTTTCTCTGTTAAAAATTGCTTTTATTTGGAAATTTTCTTAAAGTTCATTAATTGTATAGAAACGATAACAAAGTCAGTACCTTTGTAATATTTCGTTTTATTCAACTTTTTCCTTAGGTGTTCGTAATCCCCCCTACTCTCCCCTACTCGAACAATTTCTCCTCCGCGTAACTTCCTCCAACTATTAGATATCAAATTTTTGCATCGACCATAATTCACGCGGTACCGCTGTACAAACTATAGAAAAATTGCCGATGAATTCGAGTTTCATTGTCTACGTTTGTAACGCGATACAGTGCTAATGGTCAGTTGATTATGCGAGGAAACGAACAACGAACTGCGTCGAGCGTGAACTAAACGGCGTTACTTTAATAGACCCTTTGAAGCTGAAAGTCTACGTGTAGCCGAAAATGTAGTGGGTCTAGGTTGGTCGGAAAGCGCGCGTGCTAATTTCTTGATTATCCGTGGGTGCTTTATCGAGCGTGTAGTAGATAGCACCCAACGGTGTTCACGGAGCGGAAAATTAATATTTAACGTCGAAACGTCCTCTCGAATGGGCACGGTATCGTTGTCCACGGTTTTCACCTCGTCATTCGTGGCACATTTTCGTGCGAACAAACCCGACCCTTGGCACCTGCTGCGAGTCGCGTAGATGCCTAGCTTTCGTATAGCCTCGTACGAATTGTCGCGTTTCGGTTCTATCGTTACGTGTATCTACCTGTGATGCACGATAACGACGGTGGAGTTTGTAGTACACACGAGAGCCAGACAGATTTATCGGGAACGATGTATGCCCCCCTTTCGATCTTGCTGCTTTCTATCGTAATGGTGTCGGTTGAAGTTACGATCGTTTAAAGGGTTAAAGCACACTCTGAGACGTGAAAATGATACTTAATTTGGGTATCTCTTTTTTTTTCTTTTTTTCTTTTTGAGGAAATGATTGGGGGTAATTGAGAATTTTTTGGGAGGGAGCTATTGTGTTACTCTTGAAGAATGTGAAAGTATTTTTTTTGTGTGATTTCTGTGGAAAATGGCGGCGATACGGAAGCGTCGCTGAAACTCTGTTTTGAGTGGAAAGCCTTCATGATGTTGTCCCTTGCTAATATACGGTTTGAGTTATTATAGAAGGAAATACCAAAAATTTTCAGCTTCTACGTGCAAATTACTAAAGGAGCAGATAGGATTTTTTTTTTTAAATATTGAGTTTTATATAAGTGGTGAACATATAAGATTTTAGGAAGAATCGCACTTTTTCCCTAAAATTTTAGCATAAGGATGTTATAAAAAATCCTGTGTACGACTTTAGATAATATAACAGAGAGTATTTTCTGAAAAATAATCTCGGATGAAAATCGCAAAAATTATGGACAATACCAACGTTAAAAATGTCACTCAGACAAAAACGATGTCGATTACCGACTGATGACACACAATCAGTGCGCGGTTCGTTAAATCAGCTCTAATACCACAAAACCACCGAAACTCTTCATCAAAACTATTTCGATAACAAATTTAAAAGTACAAACTATCAATACAACCAAAAAACGAAACTTCCCCTCGATATACATACAATAAAAACAGAAAAAAAAAACTAATACTTACACTAATAAAAAAAATTGTCACAATAAAGGAAACATAAAAAATCGCATTTCTACATTCTTCGTTAACAAGTATTCACACTATTCGAGCCACTTATCCCGAGTACTCCATGCACTCGAGGCAATTAAACGCGAAGTAACGTCGCGTTGGTGCACGAGGAAAGATCAGAGAAAACATAGCCGTGATTTTAAACCCCTAATAACGCGACTAATCCCATTAGAATGTTAGCCAGCGAGAGCTAGGAGGAGCGTGTGCGCCAAGCCCCGCAGCACATATTAAAAATCAGGGTAACGTTATCTCACGAGAGAGCTACGTCCTGAATAATACAATGCGCATCTCTCTCTCTCTCTCTCTCTCTCTCACTCTGTTTCAGCATATGTCCGAATGATTCGAAGGGTTGCCGCACCCTCCGCGAGGGGTTGGGACCAAACGCACCCTTACGTACATCGCAAACAAAGTTACAGATGCCCTGTGTACGTTCACGTGCATCGTTACCCGGCGTACCTCGAGTCATTACGCTAGAAGGATATTTTAATTTCACGTACGAACCCCTCCTTCGGCCACCCTATTGGCTGGCCTTTTTATTTGGGGCGTGTCCCAGCTGAGAAGAAATTCGAGGTCGGCCTTGTTCGGCTTCGTATTGTGTTCGAGGGGGAATATAAAAGATAAATAGCTTGTATTTTAGTAGGAATCTACAGCTTCTTCTTGGTAAATGAATATTACGTTTAATAAGTTTGAAATTGGCGGAAATAGAAGGTTCAAGAGATACAAGGGTGGTTCATAAAGATTGTGTGAGTTTTTTGTGTTAGTTATACGTTCTAAAATGGTTGTTTCGGATTTTGGAAATTTGTTCTGGTAAAGGGAGTGAAAATAGAAGATTTAACAAATACAGGGTGATCCATAAAAGTTTTACAACTTTGTTTCTATTGTACGTTCTAAAATGGTTGTCTCAGACTTTGAAAATTTGTTCTTTGGGAATGTATTATGATGAAGCAGGTAAAAATAGAAGATTCAAGAAGTACAGGGTGGTCCATAAAAATTGTACAATTTTTTTCTGTTATTCCTCCTAAAATGGTTGTTTC